TGAATGCAGTAATACAGCAGGTACGGATAAGAATCATCGTCATAATTCTAGCTAATACATGAAAGGATCGCTCGTGCTGTTGATCAGTTCACAGGAATCCTCCGCGACATTAGAATCTCGATGCCAAGATTCTAAGAGGATTCATCTGCATTCGTAGTGCCATATCGGCCGAGCCAAGTATCGAGATCAAGAGCTCGTAGTCGAATTCAAGTCGTGGTAACTCGACACATGAATCGAACGACGCGTGCGCAAGATATTCTATGATGTAAATAACGACAAGATCGTCATGAGCAGAGAATATTATGGCTCCACTTTATAAATCTTAAGCGATTTGTTTAGGTTTCACTTTTATACGTATTAATGATTCGATATTGCGTATTCGCGTGATCATTATAGACGCATTCATCGACGGCTGTAAAGAGAAGATCACAGATCTGGTCGTGTCTGCGCGTCAAATCGAACATTTATAATCGAACAAATGTAATAAATTGCTGCATTAATTATCGTTATCTTTACGCGATATTACACCGTTGGAAAACGGTATTAAAGGACCCCGCAGCAACCTTATGGATTTTGGTCTCTTGGTGAAATTGTCTGAAAATTTAGTATATTGTTCTCCTTATTATCCTGAATAAATGTCTTAATGCGCACAAAGTCCAAAAATGTCTAGGGACCGAATCATGGAGCGCTGAAGTATGAAAATACGTCTATTCGCTCGATGATAATCGATAAGATTGTAACATATTCGCATGTGTTTGTGTGTTTGTGTGTGTGTGTGTGTGTGCGTGCGTGCGTGCGTGCGTGCGTGTGTGTGTGTGTGTGTGTGTGTGTGTGTGTGAGACTGGGAATCGATTCAGCCAACTAAGGCAAAGTTGACACAAACGTTATACATGTAAATGAATATAATATGTTAGATTTCCATTGTTTCCAGATCACTAATGATGGCTCGAATGTAGCCGAAACGTCCGAAAAAATTCTTGCAAAATTAATGTAAGATTTATATCTGCGTCAATTTATTAGCTCTCATTTACTCGTCAATTTTATTTCATTTTTCATTTTATACATGTAATATTATTACGCGCACCAGGCGTAATCGGGATTTCAGGAAATAACAACACTTTCGTTACTAAAGAACTCTTGTTTAATAACACAGACACGCAAGTATAGTGATATGCAAGGAACACGTGACGTGAGGCAAACACGTATGAGACGTAACGTCGTAAGACGAGACCATTGAGTAATAAAAATATGATAGCAAACGTAGTCCTAAAGCCGTAATCACACTACATACTCCCGATTCTGACTCCCAACTCCCGACTCAAAGTCGATCGAATAGAGTGATTTCTATTCTAAAGTCGGCAGTCAAAGTCGACTGCTGCTTTGCTATGTGATTGGTTGAAGTCGGGAGTCCGAGTCAGAGTCGGAAGCCTGTAATGTGATTACGGCTTAAGATGAACTGATTTGACTCATCGACTTCCTGAAAAAAAAAAATTATTATTGTAGTCTGTATATAGGAATATATGTGTGATTATATATTGTTACGTCCGCAATGCGATGCCCGTGACCTGACCTAGTCAATAAATAACGCAGTATCGTCATATCCCGGAACGTGTGTGCGCGAGCGCTGACGAGTGCGCGAAACCGCGATTACGCGCGAGCGTAACAATATTACATGTAGATATAACGTTTGTGTCAGCTTTGCCTTAATTGACTGAATTGATTCCCGGTCTCACGCATCACATGTGAATACGTTACTATCTTACCGATTATCATCGAGCGAATAGACACATTTGCATACTTTAGCGCTCGATGATTCAATGGAAAAAATTCCTAGGCATTTTTGGACTTTATGCCCATTGAGACATTTGTTCAGGACAGAAAGGAGAACAACATACAAAGTTTTCAGACAATTTCACCGAGAGTCCATAGGTGCGGGGTGCATTAATTTCCTTTGTATTTAATTTAACACACTTTTTGTGTCCCAAACGGTCCACTCAAAATTAGGTGTTAAATCAAACACAAAATGAATATGTTAGAAATTTAACACAAATATTATTTAAGAAGATAAACACAAAAAAATCAATACTGATATAATTTGTGGACAAATCATGGACGCATTTTCTTCAGTAAAATTGAGTATTTAAGGAGAAGACTTCCAAAATCATTTTGTTCAAAGTTTCGTTTTTTTAGTTAAAGAGTTATAGTGTTTAGTGTTCAGAATCAGAAATTCATATTTTAAGCTAGTCTACAATGTTCCGGAAGCATTTCTACACCATCAATTTATGTGCTGAAAAAAATCTTGACGTAGTGCATTGTGTTCTTTAACTAGAGAGACAAACAAAATGTATTTATTTAACGGTTTTAACAACTGTTTAACAATTATGTTAAGATGTGAATATTTCACATCTTATTGATTGACAGTTTGTTATTTTCTGTATACAGTTCTTGTGATTTTCTTTCTCATTTTGGACGAAACGCTTGTTAAAAATCTGCTTCCTCTTTAAATGTTAAATTAACACATATTTTATTTATTCTTCTTAGAAATTACGTTTTAAATATTCTATTTTTACGTAATTAATATTCACTTACTCATAAATTGTATTATTTTGACACAAAGAAATTTTGAGTATTAATTCAACATAAATATATAATTTAAAGAACAGAATCACAATATGTTAAATTAACACTCGAATATATTGAAAAATTCGATATTTAAATATTCAGGATTTAAGTGGACCGTTTTTAACACCAATGCGAAACGTTTTTTTTTTTTAACTAAAAAATTGATAATGTACATTATTATCATTAATTCTACGTTGACGATACGGTATATAAAAACGTTTACAAGGCAAACGTTTTTATACATCAACTGTACCGAATTCACGAAAGTCATTTGTGAAGTCATTATCAGAGATTATTCCGCGTATGTGTGTACTACAACGAGCGAAGAATGATCGGTGCCAGGGTTCCTCTCGAACGTTGATTCTCGAGATGTGTAGCGGGGTCCCTGGAGGCATGTCAGTTTCGATTATCATCGGCTATCGTTAGGCCCCGTTCAGCGCGTGCTCGCTCGCGCGAACGCAGTCGCGGTCCTCGAAACGTCAGACTGTCGGGGCCGTAAATTTTTTCGCGGGCGCCCACCTCTCGTCATGCATATTCATGAATACTCGAATGTAATCGAACGCCGCGCGAGCGAGCCAACATAGAAGGAGACGGCGAGGTCCTCGAGCGCTTCGATCAGCCGTCGACTCAATTCAAGAATGACGAGGGCCAACCATGAGATAAGAGCGGCTCAAGGATCACTGCTCCTCTTGGCAAACCATGTCGTGGAATACCGAGAGACGGCTGTGCACTTTATGTGCGAATCCCGAGACGACACGCACGACATCGATTCTTATCTCGCGAAGGATACCGTGCGCCACGCAAAAAGTGCAATACGAGCGCGACGCGGTGATGGCGTTTCCGAAACGGCTTACAGTATCACGATATGATCGAATTTGGTTTCAAACAACTTTGATACCGATACCGGATACCGGCAGATTCTCTCATTAAATATATCGATGTTCGCGCGGTCATCAAGCACCGATGTAAAAACTTATGAAAAGCCCGTTATCGAAGCTATCCATCTTAATTATCGCGGTATGCTCATTAAGGTACACAAGAGAGTCGCTGCGGTGAGTCTTCATTTTTCTGCAGTTACAAAATATAACTTCCCAAAGTGAAGTGAGAGGAAATTGCGATTCGTGACACGAATGAGGAACTTTTCTACCGCGATGCTGGAGTCATGGTTCTTGCTCTCTGTCAGGTGTGAGTGAACGATGTGACAGCCGGAGGAATAACTTCTGTCACGAAGCTGGTGAGGAGTGGCGCGATGTTCGAGAGCTCCGTGACACCACCGATCCGCGAAGTGGAAGATCGTATCGTGTATATACGCGCGAGATAAGCGTGTCGGGTTATCTGTAATTAATCAATTTGCGTCTACCAGGCGGCAGCCCGGTAATTACGATTCTCCGTTTTATCGCGAATTATGAAACCATTCATCGCGCGGTTCCCGAGCGCGAGCGAGGACGGGGAGTCATCTGTGGAAAGTAGACCGCGCCCCAGTTCTACGATGAAAGGTCGTTACTGCTGAGCGAAATGCCGAGCGCTTCTAAGCGAAGAAAAACAAGGGGAAGCGCTTACACCCAATGGAACGGGTGAGTGGATAATTTCAGTGGACACTCGAAAACCCCGACAACCACGCCCGTGACTTCGCGGAAATAGCAATGTTAAGTGGTCCGTAAAAACTATCATTGCGAGATCTAGTATTTCGCGGGCGTATTTCGCCTCAGGATGCTAAAGAAAAAAAAAAAAAGAGAAAGACAAGGAGGAGAAAGTATAGATACTACAAACTAGAGAGGGGTGGAGGATCAACGCTAGCTTCGAGGGGTCATTATAGAACTTTCCTAGCTGGCGCGCCGTCTCTCCCTACTCGCTAATGCCAGACTGTCCGGATTGACTGATGCCAGGTCATTCAAAGCCTTCTAGATCGCTTCGTTGCCTCACTAAGTCGGAAAGGAATATTGCGCGATTGATGACAGCGTGCACCATTACAGAGTTGGCTTTCAAAAGCCATTAAAAATAGTAGCTACGTCCAATGCGATTTGTGCAACAATCTAACCGAATCAAAACATTTATCAGGTTTTTTTTCCTTTATTTCAATGAATACACGGATCATCGTATATGGTCACTAAACTTGAAGGATTTGTATAGCTTTCTTTATCTCCTTAAGTTAGAATTGTGTCAGAACAGAAATATATTTCGGACAAAATCGTCGCAGAGAAGTATATAGGAAAACATTTGTCTCCAATGACAATCGTTGTGCAATCTTGCACTTTAATAAAGGCATTAGAATTCGTTTGATGCGCTTGATGCGAGTGCACGAATAATGACGTAAGTGCATTTCCTACTATTTTTCCTCGTGGAAAACCGCATCGCGATTAGAAAAAATCTTGACTCACCTGTGCATATTCGGCGCATATGTCGATTGACGAAACATAATTGACGACGTCCTCGATGGTCCAGCGATTTACGGCTTGCCCATCGCCGCAAGGTATGTGGCCATAGAGAGTCGGACATCTGATCGGCGGAGGTGTGGTTGGTCTCGCGGTAGGTTTCGGCTTAGGGGATACGCTTTCGGATCTCCTTGTTTCCGTCCTTTGTCGCTTACGAGGTGCGAAACCACCAGGACTCGAAAGGTCTAAGGGACTCGTCACTCCTGTGTCTCTTTTGTTCGCGCCTACGTATTCAAACAAAATAAAACGTTGTTGTCTAGTCTTCCTCACAACTGATTAATGATATGCCACGTAAACACACATATCAATAAAGCACATAAAATATTATATAATGAATATGATTGGATACACTTAGTATGCACTTAGTGTGCACATTAAAGTCGTCATACAAATTGATGTAAAAACGTGTGCTTAATATATAATATAAAAAATGCATTAACTGAGAAATCCTCGATATATTTTATTATGCTGTTAAGTAAAATATGTATTTTATAATTTGAATAATTTGATTTATTTTTGTACAGATTAAATCAGTTCATAGCGATCTTACTATACAATTCGCACTAGTGTGTCAAACCAGATTTGCTATTAAGAAGCATGGTTTTTTTTATCTACGAATGCTTTGATTAATCTAAATAATTGATTTTTCTTTTCAATAAGAATAATATTAATGTGCGTATTAAGATATCAATCGTTTATATATAAATATTAAACAATCAAAAATTGAAAGAAACGCATAAAAAAACAAAGTCTTATACAATTTACGATTAAAAAATAATTCTATAACTTCTTTTTTCAATCATAAAAGTAATGCTATTAATCTGTATGTCCTCTCTATTTAAAAATATAGTATACTTACTTCCTAATTTCCTATGATACTTGCCTTTGAGATATGTTTCCAATTCTGCAGCGCTTTGCGCCGCATTGGCAGTTCGTACCATGTGCAAAAGAGCCTGGGTGGACGACATATCGATCATAGGCGGAAACACGGGACTACCAAAGAGACTATCCTGCTTTTGCTCTTTCGGATCTTTATTGGAGAGCGGTGAGGTTGTCGGGACAGTCGATGGTTGTGGAGCCCCTAACGGCGCCATTAGACCAACGAACGGCGTCGCTGCAGCCTTGAAGGCTGGAAACCTCGGGTCTAAACCCGGAGGATAACCGTTTCTTGGTGTGCTAAAGTAACTGAAATAATCAATCGTCCTTGATCATTAATTCTTTCTGTTATAAATATTTAAAAAAAATCAGTGTTACTATCACAATCGCACGTAGAAACATTTCAAATTTCAGACTCAAGAATATTTGTCTCATGATCAAATATAAAAAGTGCTATTTTCGTAATAAAGATGATGTACCTACATGATATAGTAAATCATGATTTTTAATTTCATGAGATGACTCAATGCCAAACGAGAAAATAGATAGGTTCAGATTTAACACATTGTCTAGACGTTGATTAATTAAATTTAGCAAGGCGCAAACAGACATGTAATAAATTAAAGAATCAAATTCTTCTTCAAATAGCAAAGGTCGCATTGTTAAAATCTATGTTCAACATTTAACTAAACAATTAAACAATCATTTGATCTGTTTTCAACAACGTATCAGAAGGTACAAAGTTAAAAGTCAACGTACGACGCGACAACCGGTTTCATGCGCGAGTACGTTAAGCCCCTCGAGTATTCTCTACGTCTTATGAATCTTAATCACACGAATCATCTATTTGCAGCCTTCAAGACTTAATTCTTTTATATCGTCTCGCAGTATTCGTCAATATATACGTGCATGTTAAGTTCCAACAAAAAAATATTCAAAGATATTTGCAAAATCTTTTCTTAATCATACAATACATTAAGAAAAATGTTATGACACAGGCTCGAACAGTAATGAAGCAATATTTGCATGTCAATTTTTAATTGGCATATCAATGCATGACTTATTTAAAAAGAAAATCGAAAGTGAGATGTTAATGTTGTAATGTATGCTTTTCAGTTATGTTAATCTCGTAACCTATTTACAGGGATTATGACTCTACGACGAATAATCAAAAATGGTCGATAAAATGAGATGGACGTACTCATTGGGGTTGGCGTTGTTGTACTTGGCGGCGAGACTCCTCATGAAATCACTATAGTTTCGCCCCATCATCTGTTCCATGTGCTTGAGATGATGAGGTGGCGGTGGACCCTCAGGTCCTCCCAAGGGCGTAGCATTTGGCGGCGTCCCCGGGTGACTCGACGAAGAAGGCGTCACGCTCCTCGACGATGTCGAGTTATTGTCAGGCGTGAGTCGTTCCGTTTTAACCTGCAACGTGATAGGATTGCCTTTCTTTAAATAAGACCTTACCGCGCGCAACCGGATGCAATAATAAAGAGTAAAACGTGCAGCAATTAACCGGTAATAAAAATAATGAGTATAAACGGAAATATTAATTAGCGAACGGGAACAACCCAGGTGCGATAAAAATGCGCGCGCGTTTAATATTATTTCATTTAACGCTAGAAAGAACAAATTAATAATATTTGCAAATGCAAACTATTTTTTATCACTTAAAACATTAGATTAACATTATATTATAATTTTAATATTATTTAAGATATATTCACAAAAATATTTTTTTATCTTTCATCATAAAAAGAATATCCCACTTCAATTAATTTTCTGTTCAAACTTTAAATTCTGGAACAATGTTTTGTTCACGCATTTACTTAAACGACACAAAAGTAATATGACAATAATAATTTGAAATTGTTAAGTGTCCTCGCGTAAAGTTGCCAGTACATCTGCGGATTGCTCATTTCATCTTATCCATGGCAACAATAATTTTAGTATCTTTATTACCGCTGTACTTCATATTTGAATGCTGAAGGCCACAGAAACAATGCATCTTTAAAGAAAAAAAAAAACGCTTTAGTCTTTCCTCAACATTGTTCTCTGTATGAAACTAAAACTATTTACTATGTTTAAAAAGATGCATTTAGAATATACGGATAATAATACTAATAAATTATTGATCGAAAAATAGCATAAATAACTACTTTTCATACGATTAGTTATACCTACAGCAAATGTTAATTACAAATGATTAAAAATAATAGAAACAACGCGCGCAACACTAAATAACGAGTCGAGGCAGATAATTATGAAGGATAATTACTATTGCTTTTATGATAAGACCAAGCCTATTGTATCACTGATTATCATATTCTTGATTTACTGTCAGCGCAACTATTTAGCACTAATAAACGACCTTCATTTGTACACACAAAAAATTGTTCCTGCCTTCGAGTTATCAACGATGGACCACGCCTTCGACCGTGAGGGACGCTTATCGGCAGTTACTGAGCACAATATGTCTCGCTCGGGCGAGATCCGTGGCGGTAGGAAATATCCCGGGTGCATTAATTCCCGGGAACAGATTGCATCTGAGATATGGTAATGAAGGCAACGCGTGGCGTAAGAGTTGACTCCTCTTCGCTCGGCGCGGCGAGAGACCGCGCCGTGACACTAAGAAGAACGAGAGTCGATTGGCGTAGAATAGGGTTCCCGAGAGCGCAGTCCGAAGACCGCGGCAGAGGCCACGGTAAATCTCTTTCTCGCCTCCAGACCTCTTCCTGACAAGGGACCGCTTCAGGCTCACGGCGCGGGCACGATCCTGTATATATACGTACATTTCGAATGAGTCTCGCTTGGTGCGACCGATCCGCGCAACCAGAATAGAGAAAATACGCGAAGACATGACAACTGTGCGAGCAAGAGAGTCCCGAAATTAAACCAATCGTTCTCTTTCGATGTAATTATAGTCTTTTTCCTTTCATTGGCTGCAGCGTTCAGCTTTATAATTGTTGTAAAGCTGCTTTTCTTGCTAAACGCAGCAAATATTATGAAAAAAAGGGAATATGTCACAATGAAAAATTGAGTTATATATAAAATATATAACGGTTTTTATACTATGTGTGAGTTTTTTCGCATATTTTCCTCATTTTTTTCTGAATAGTCTCAAACGAGAAAGATTAATCTTCTTCTATTCTTATTGATCGATTCTCTCAATTCGATTCTAGTGGATTACGGATGCCAAAAGTTATAAGTCATGATAGAGCTTGCCGCATACGGGAGAGATTAATTTCTCGAGTTGCTACCATTCTTCAGAGAATACTATCCTTCCTACTCGTATAGCCTGCGGACCTGTACTATGAGGAATTCTTACGCGTCATGAATCGACTGTTCTTTTTACCAATGATGATCAATTTTTTACCATCACAGCTCTAAGCATCGCTGAGCAATCGTCAAAGACTTCTCTTTTTTTTTTTCTTTCTCTTTTCAAGTCGTTTACAGAAGCGCCCTGCCGGTCGACGGATGTCAGCGGCAGAATGACACTGCGGCTTTCAACGCGGTTGACATAGTTGCTGCATGGTTAGCTTTGAACGGGACTCTCCGTGTACACGTGTTCGGGCTACCGCTCGGACTACAGGAGCGATGGACTCTCTCGTCGAGGATATCTCCCGAGACTGGCGCACGTGTCCCGAAGTGGTACGTGAACGCTCAAACACTCCACTTCACGGAAGAAGCCAAGCGGGTCTCTCTCAAAAAATTTGTACGACAAATCTCGCGTCCTCGTGGCGACTCGCGTCCTTCTCGACGAAAGAGAAAAAAGGAGAGAAGAATAAATAAAAATTCCGGACGAACGCGACGTTCACTCGTGCTACGTCAATACAGTATATAAGGCGAACATCGTGTTTGCCTACGTACGTAAAAGTTTTCTGTATACCGTGTCAAAATTTAATTCCATCGTGGACTTTTTCGAAAATGGGTAATCAGTAGAGGTGTGCAAAATCGGGTCGGGACCGGGAATGCTTTTCGAGATCGGGATGGGATCCCGAAAATGGCCGAGTTTTCTGACTCTTTTATCATAGATAAAGACAGAAAAAATTCCATACAGTATATCAGATATCCTGAAGATTCTTTAATTTATTTGTTTTCAAACCGCAGGCTGTAATAATGCGGATAATACATTGTAAGTCTTTTCAATAAGTAAAATTTACAGTTTCTAGATTTAGCATTTATAGTTGCGTTTCAAGACCGAAATCTTTCGGCGCGCAAATATTTAGGAGGGGGGACATTTCAGATTATTAGAGTTGCGTTGCAAGACCGACAATTGTTCGGCGCGCAATTTGGGGGAATTACATATATTAATAGAACGTTATTTCCTACTTTGGATAAATATTGCGAAGAATATCACTACGTCGACTCGCCATCAGAGGTCTATCGATATCCGCAAATTCTCGTAAGTGCTGAGACACGCGTATATCTCTTTATATAGAACCACGATTTAATAACTTACCAAGGCGTATAAGGTAGGCTTCCACTACAATGGAAGCCGGGACGAAACGCCAAAAGTTACGTGATATTCTTCGCAATATATAATATTAGAATAAATTATCAGATTTAGATTTTAAATTGTAATTTAACTCTTATTCGCCCTGTTTAACGTATTAATTATCCTGAAGATTCTCGAGAAACCTGAATATTTTCAGGAAACCCGAATATTTTCGGGAATCCCGAAATTGTCGGGATCCCGTCCCGACCCAATCCGCGTCTTTCCGTCCCGTCCAAAGCGCATGGGGTTTCAGAAATTTTCGAGATCCCACACACCTCTAGTAATCGGAAATGAGAAAGAGCAAAAGTACGATTCAAAGTATAGACATTAGACGTTCAATTGCGCTGCGATTATAAAAAGTATTAAAAAGGTTTTACTCACTTGGGTAGTATCGAGACCATTCTGGTTCTGTCGCCTCCTACCACGTGGAGGTCTGGGGGTTGCCGCACCGGACAGATGGGTGCCCTGAGGGCTTCCCCCCCTGGTGTCGACCGCTGTGTTTGCTGCCAGGGTGGCCCCGTCGTTGTTTTCCGTGTACGTACCTAAATCCGCCGCCTCTCCACGGTCGCCACCACGTGGTCCTGTGCTCGCGGACACGTTCTCGCCCGACACCTCACCTGAAAACGAAACACACACACGAGGGGATATATCAAATTTCGATCGGCTTTGAAAGAGTATTAAAGCGCGCGCGAGATCCTCGTCCCTAATATGCTTCTTATCCAGCTCGGTTTTATCAAGTTATACGAAAGATTAAACCGCATATTTCCAAGACACAAGACGCGAGTTTAAGAAGCTATTAAGAGATTTGAAACGACCAGAGCGATGACCCTGGCAGAGCACACTCAACTCCAAATTTTGACGAAAAGATAAATTCGGCGTATTCCAGCCGCATTTGTGTCCCCAGGATGGCTCGAGTTTCGTAACGAGACGCGGCGCGGCGGTCCTCGCGTCTTGCGTCGTAAAGCTTCCTGAACATCTCGCCGTGTAAACGGCGTCTTTCGACACAGGGAATTTAGAATGAAATACGTTAAGAGAAAGAGAGGGATAATCGTATAGGACACGATTGCACACGGTGGCGGTGCTAGCCACTCGCACGCGAGATTTACGCTCAATAAATGGCCTCGTCCTGGCGCCATTATCTTCTTGATCAGAGACGCGTATCTACCGACGTATAGAGCGAAACGAAAAACAGCGTAAAGGCGCGGAGAACGAGGAGAACCAACGGGGGAATCGAGGAGGTCACTGTCCACTGAGACTACCTAACATATCCAATAAATTCTTGTCATCGTTAAACGCCTGGAATTTTATGGAGGTAGTAACTCGTCCGTACCGCCGAATTTACCGGCCGATACGATCGGCCGCGATTAATGCAGCGATGGTGCCAGCAACGGTGTCAGCAACGGTGCCGGGAAAAGATACGGGAACTTCGTATTTCGTAGCTTTTTTCGCGCGATATTTTCGTACATCGGTATTTTCATCGCAATCAATCTTTCTTGCGATTGTAATTGCATGTGGCGTCTATTTATCATATCAATAATTATTGCGGTCCGCGACAAATATTTTTCAAATAATTTAATGGTGTTAACCGTCTTCGATATATAGTAAAGCATAAGAGACTTTCAATTAACTGATTCGCGCTTGTCAGATTTTTGTCCAAAGTATATTCACAATAATGGAGAACAAGTGTTAATCGTACCTACACAAATATCCTCGTAGTAAAACCGACAGCATCGGAAGTACGCAAACGGATACTGCGATTATTTTTATAATGCGCCAAGTTAGCACCTCCGGCAGGCTCAGCTCGGTTGCTATCGGGTTATATCCTACAATCCGGTTGTAGAAGCGACTCCGCGGCATCGAGCGGGATACAGACTGAGGGTAGCGATCGTAAAAGCCACTTCTATGACACTCACTGCCAAATGTCTTCATTATTTCGAGTTAAAATATTTACAGCTGCCCATAAAAATTCCATTAGGCACTGTTTGCTAGTAGGATAACCATCGCCCTCCAAGAGATGAGGCGTTCGAAGATGCTTTCGACGCACCTCGCCATAAATGACATCCAAATAGTTATAAAATAGGAAAGTATGCGGGCAACAAACATTGTACGCATCGTTTCGTGACGAATTAGCCACTAACAAGAACGATACAACGGTATATTAAACGACGCGTTCGACGAGAAGTTTTCGGAATATATAACTTAATCAGTTTTAAATGAATTTCTCCATGAACATCGTTGGATGGATGATTTGTGGACTGCTAAAGATTTTATAGTAGTCTATTAATTACACAGTGAAACGGAGGGAATGTAAAATACATGTTTCGATGAAAAGTATAACTAACAATTTAACTTTATTAAGTTGTTGAAATCATAACGTGTCAGAGAAATATGAATCTTGAATTCCTTGAATATAAATTCCTGTTTAATAGGAACAAGAATTATAAGGAGGATATATTGAGCATTATTTCAACATTTACCTCTTGATGGATTCTATAAACATCGCGTTCCGCGTATAACAAGACTTTCTTCACAATTTTCTCACGGTTTTTTTTTTTGCAAGTTGGCGGCGGTAGCATACGACAAACATCGTAACTTCAGGAACTTCCAAAGCAGGGAGTCATTGTTTAAAGATCGTCCGCGGTTTGTCGTCTAACTTCAGCTTGACGACATTTACATAGTGGCGCAAAAATGATATGCAGCTGCACTCGTGGGATTAGTTAAGATTTGAACTAACTAAGAGATAGAGATATACAGAAGAGTAGTCTCGTCATTTTTACACGATTTTGTTACAAAAAAAATACAAATATGTTATAAAACAATATAATAAAGTTAATGATGCAATAACATTTTCTGTAAAAATCTGACAAAGAGGAAGATCAAATAGTAAAATAACATTATTTTGTATTATGTTAACCAAACACTTGAGATTGGCACTATTTCACCATATATTTAGTAACTATTACCACATTTTTTCCAGTGTACGATAAGGAATAATGAACATGCTCATAATAATAAACGACCATGTATGCTATTCGAAAAATTCACCTGTCTAATAAATCAATAAAAGTCTTTGTGAGGTTAGAATGGCTCAATATTGTTTATGTTACAAATATTAACACGTAGAATAAAATAGCTTATCTCAATGTAGATTAAGGACCTTATAAAATTAGGAGAAAAACATAAAAAATAAAAAACTAACATACTTGCGTAATTTATATGATAAATTTCCGAAGTACATTCGTAAACGATTAGTTGCAACCAGAGAGAAACCTGAGAATGGACATTCTGGCTTTTTTCATGTACCAAATCTCATAGGATATTGTTCACATTTTCGTAAGATAAGAATGAATCATCAAAATTGATTATTCATCTTTGTATCCACGTATAGTATGGAAGAGGACCACAAAAACGTGGACATTACCCTATGAAATTTGGTACATGACAGTAGATGAAAAAAGTTAAGATATGTCTACTCTCAGGTTTTTTTCTGCAACACTGTCCTTTTAATAGATTTCGGAATACAGCCTGCTCACTGAGCGATTGGTTTTTGTTTATGGATTTATAAAAATCAATCATTCTGTGAGTAAGCTGTATTCCAAAAACCATTTGAAAAAAGTATTGCAATCTTTTAAGTCCCGACTGTACCATACATAAATTTAGTTTAAACTTCACAGCTGGAATGTCGTGAAGACAGATGCTCGTTGCAGAAATATAAAGGATGCTCATATTACCTGCAGTGCTCATAACACTCAATCCTATTCTACTTATATTTTATACATTTTGTTCAGGACGTTGAGTAAAATGCCAATTTTAGCCTAAGTAATGATAACCTCTCCTATATGCTTTTGTCTTACTTTTTAATGTGTTGAATTTGCGAATATTAGTTTCAAGCTGAACTAATAGAAAAATATTGAAAATTGTAATTAAAGGTCAGACTTTGACAAAGTTGTACTACTTGTAGTGCGATTTTCAACTATTCCTATCAGATCATGGTCAGTTTGAAAAATGATTGAGCACGTCAGAAATTACAAGAAAATATGCATAAAAAGGTTCCGCCATCGTTTATACTTTAAGCCAAAATACGATAATTTTACTCATCCTCCTTTGCACCAAAAGTTTTTTTTACGCTCTTGTGAGTCAAACAATTAATTGCATTATTAAATTTTCAAACGCGAATTTAAAAGATTGAAAAGAAATTGTTTTGAAAAGAGCTTAAATTAATATTTCTTTCATTTTTTCAACGAAATATTGCTAAATATATTGTTCTGCGCACTTATCGTTTAAAAATATTATAGCTAAGTATTATAGTTTGTAATAAATAACATCTTACGTAGATTTATCAAAAGATTTTGTTACATGCAAACGTGGAATGTTAACAGCAGCGAAATACCTATGGTGAATACTGAGAGCTACGTAAAGTCCGAGTGTGAAATATCGTAACGACGTGTTAAAACGAACTAATGTGCAGCGCACGTATCTCCCATGACACACCCGCTCCGTGAAGCCCGCGCTTCGAGGTTGCATTCGCTAATGCAACGAAAATGCGAGGCCTGAATCACGATACTTCGATATCTCAATGACAAAGAGTGGTAGATCAATTTTTAAACTAAAAAAATAACAGACAAAATCTTCTTTTTCCTTCTATTCGTCTCATGTCGGTATTTTTAGTATAACGCGACGTACATTTGAAGATAGAAAGTATAACGTGGAAAACGTGCGTGGGAAAGCAAGCGATGACAACCCGCTGCCTCGCCGCACGAAAACAGTAGCTCGCTTCTTGATTTCATCCGATATATCGTGTATCTTGAGATACCCGTGTAATTTACCGGTTTTAGTGAAGCTGCCTGGTTAACTATTTCGTTCCCGGGTGAGACAGGTTTCCGCGAGAAAGAAAGCCATAGGAAGACACAGAGATAGGACACCAGGAACTCATAGTAATCGCGTACAGCATAGTCATAAATTATCCAACGCGACCACGACTAAAATGAATTGACCTTCGAGGTCGCGAACGAAGTGCCGTCGCGAGACGAGAATAAAACCAGCGGCCTCTTCGCCGGATCGCTGTTAATTATTCCCGCGTTAAGACTTTAAGAAATTTCACCGAGCTGGGAATTTTTCCACGATCCCACGGACGAGATTAGAAGCGGACCGGTAAAGTTGCGTAATACACCACGCGATACAGGGATCGATCCAGCATCCATCTCTGACACAGCGGAAAACGACAATAGGACGCTTCCGCGCGCAACGCATTGTTCAAAGAGTGACCTAAAGATTCATCAGCACGAGTTCTCATGCATACATGTGAATCAACGTGTTTAATTAATATGGAAAAGTCGTAACGCGCACAGAAGAACACTGGCTAGCAATAGTATACTAAACTACTACATCGATAAAATCTAATCGACATTAAATTGTTCTTTTGCAAATGACAATTTTTAACATTTGATCAATATTATATTACTGATCAAATATTGTAAAAATTGATATTTGCGAAGAGCATTGCGTTACGCCCCAATAAGTGACACTTCAGATTAAAAGAATTTTGTACTGCATCCGCTACTCAAAGTCGTCGCTATTCAACTTTCCCTTTCATGCTCTTTTCCTTTTATTACCTTCC